AGAGGGAGAGAGAGAGAGAGAGAGCGAGAGAGAGAGAGAGAGAGATTCCTAGGTACAATCTATGTGATTGTAAGTGGAGGATTCGAACTCATGATCTGTTTACTGACAATTACCGCAAATTACGCCTGTGAACCTTTCAGTCGTAAATGGGCTAGGTACGCCCACGTGCAATCTAAACACAGGGCAGAGTGCAATTGGAGATGGACAGAAAGGGACAGAAACTACCGTCTTCACCGGAATGGAACGCCCAGTCGTTATTGCTGCATCTGGACTGAAAGTTGCGCCAAATACAGCGATAATGACAGGGCGTTCTATTCGGGCGAAGACGGTAGTTTAGTTCATCTTTTACGAAACTCAAGACTATAGCTCGATCATCTCTCCGTATATGCGTGTGATCCTTGCGCAGCGGCCATGCTAATTACTCTTCTCTCTATCTTCCTCTTCTTCTTCTTCTTCTTATTATTATTATTATTATTATTATTATTATTATTCTTTGTCTTTGTCTTCGTCTTTTTCTTCATCTTCTCCGGGGAAATTGCGTGTTTCTACTGAGAACTGTGCATGCGGAGAAGCATGTGCGAGAAGCAGTCTATGGCCGCTGTTTTCACTCTTCTTCTTCTTCGTCGTCGTCGTCTTCTTCTTCTTCTTCTTCTCCTTCTTCTCTGTATTTTTCCAATTTAACAAGTATCCCACAGCACAAGACTACCGTCTTCTCCCGAATGCAACGTACGGTCATCATAGCTGTATGTATTTGGGATATCTTTCAGTCTAAATACAGCTAGAATGACCGTACGTTGTATTCGGGGGAAGAAGGTTACCCGATCAGAAAATGCAGCATCTTCAAAAAAAAAAAAAAAAGAAAGAAACAAAAAAGAAAATGTAACCCCCTTTAACATCTGGTGCACCCTGAACAGGGGCTACCGTCTTCCCCCAAACACAACGCAGCCTCATCACGAGGAGTGTATCTGACCAGAAAAATGGCTCCTGTACATTCATAATCTGGGTACGCTGTGTTCCGAAAAAAAGACAGAAGGGGGTAGTTCGCATTTCCAAACCTGAGCCGCCAGCTGTTAGGCAATTTATGCTGCCCACAAGCCAAAAAAAAAAAAAAAAAAAAAAAAAAAACAGGAAAAGGTGTACGTGGGGCCAAATCGTGTAAAGGTGCACAGGTGTGAAAGCACTAGTACTCACATTGAGGTAGGACTTTCCAACTCCCATCTCTGGACGTCATTGCAGTCAGAAACATTCAAGATATGAAAGTGCTCGTGTGAGCACACCCTCATCATTCACTTCAACAACGCGACCAACATTGTTGTGCACAACAAAAATCGGATGCAACGAACTTACACTGAATCCAATCAACACGCGAAATACATATCCCACCAGGAAGACGAAAGGAGAAGCCGCGATCTACACCCGAATACATATCCCACCAGGAAGACGAAAGGAGAAGCCGCGATCTACACCCGTCATATTCTCTCTCTCTCTCTCTCTCTCTCTCTCTCTCTCTCTCTCTCTCTCTCTCTCTCTCTCTCTCTCTCTCTCTCTCTGTGTGTGTGTGTGTG